AGATATAATACAAGGCGACGACGATGGATTCGGCCTTGTCTATTGCCACAGCCGGCTGTGAATTACTGTAAAAACTTTTTAATAAACATTTAAATAAGAATTTTATTTCGATTGTAGAAAAAATGTTGTGTGCAACATGTGAAAAAAGCATATTGGTTGCACTCAGCATGATTGCATCTCTCGACTTCGTCTCGAGCTGCAAAATTCATGCGTCTGCAACAAATAAATATATCCTTTTTGCACTAGTTACACAAATAACTATTTAATGCCTAGGCATAAAAGTAGTACAAGTATGATTAGTCAGCATACATACATAGATACTGCTATTACTCGCTGACGAGTATTCGGCACGCATCAAAAGATGGTCACGCAAGGCGTTTTCTTTCATGAGCTTTTCTGTGACTGAAAAGCCCGATACGTGATGTTATTTGTCTACCGTACTCCGGACATTCAAAAATCTCATTACTTTGTTGCCTCTTTACTTTTTGGTTTGGTTGTCGTTGTTAACTGAGTTTACAATTCATCTCCATTGAGTTCTATTGTGAACTGCTTCTTACCAATGATTCTTCATGTTAATCCTCTTTAAGTTTTCGTGGAAAATGTCCTTGTACCTTTTGAGTTGTCCACCCGGCCTCCTCTTACCGTCTACAAGCTCACCGTAAAGCAGAGATTTTGGTATGCGGTTTTCTTGCATTCTGCATACGTGTCCAGCCCATCTTAAGCGGGATTTTGTAACCATGACTTCAATACTCTCACAGTTAGCTTTTTCATGGACCGATACGTTTGAGACATGATGGAACCACCGGATTCTTAAGACTTGTCTAAGGTGTCTCTGTTGCAACTTGTTTAATGCGTTCATGTGTCGGCGGTGCGGCACCCAGGTTTCGCTTCCATATAACATGGTAGGGATTATAATGGCTCGGTACACTGCAAGTTTCGTATTTGTACTCAAGTCATGACTGTAGAAAACCCTGTCATTTAATTTCCAGAATGCTCTTGAGGCGCTGCTAATCCTGTGCAGAATTTCAGAGTCGGTATATATATATATTGGCCTTTTCCGCAGTCTGCTGATGTAATTAAATTCCGATACATATTCCAATAGTTCTTCTCCGATTTTTATAGATTCTTGTTATGATCTTCCGGGGGAGTGCACATGATTTTGGTTTTGTCGATGTTTAGCTTAAGGACCAAAGCCTCGTATGCCCAGGTATATGTGTTCAACATTTCTTGTAATTGTTGTAGTGTGTTTGCAGCTAGAGCGCAGTCATCAGCTTATTGAAGTTTCATGATGAATTTTGTACGTGTTTTTGCCCTGAGTCTTTTTATGTTGAACAGACCGCCGTCATATCTGTATCTAATGCCCAATCCTCTCTCCTGCAGTTTGCTGTCCACTATAATAGAGAGCGCTGCCATGAATATGTTGAATAGGAGAGGCGCTAAGACACATCCCTGCCTAACTCCTGTATTTGTTAGGAAGGGATCGCTCAGTGATCCGTGATGTGACACTCTTGACTGGTTGTTGTTATGGAGGATTTTACACACTGTAATAAATTTGTTGGGTACTCCGAACTTTTTCATAATTGCCCAAAGTGCATCTCTGTTCACAGAGTCGAAGGCTTTTGTTAGATCGATGAATGCAACATAAAGTTTAGACTGCAGCTCTTTTACTTTTTCCTGTAGTTGACGGATGGAAAATATGGAATCGACGGTTGGTGCGAAAACCCGTTTGCGATTCTGGAAGGATTTATATGTGGGTGCAGGCGATTTGACATAATTTTTGCAAGAATTTTTCCTCCGATAGCCAATAGTGAAATTCACCGGTAATTTCCGCAGTCTGATGCACTTCCTTTGTTCTTAAATATATTCACTATATTCGCGTTGCAAAAGTCCTGAGGTACTCATATGACATCGAAGAGAGCCTTAAGGTGACCAATAAGTTCTTTACTTGTACACTTATAGATTTCCGCCGGGATCGCGTCACAGCCAGCTGATTTGTTGTTTTTAAGCTGTTTTATGGATGCCATTATTTCCTGTTCTGTTATTGGGGTTATTAATTATTCTAAAACATCGAGGCTGTTATACTGAGGTTTTTATTGTGTTTAGTACTTCCATATTGGGGTTGTTTTCTTGGTTAAGGATATAGGTGTAATGCTCTTTCCAGCATTTTCTAATTTGTTCTTCCTCTTTTAGAAGCTCGCCATTTTGTGTCATGATTGGGCAGCTCTTCTTGGGTGGGCCGTATACTTCTTTTACAGCCTCGAAGAATTTACAATTATCGTGATGCGTGGCGTACTCTTGAATTTGATTAGCCTTTTGTGACCACCAATCATCCTTTAATTGGCGCAGATTTCTTCGAAGCGTGTTGTTGGCTGCACTAAAGTTGTTAAAACAAACTAGCCTTGGATTGTGTGGATTTGCAGTGACTGCTTGATGTGCTCTATGCTTTTGTTCCAATAAGGTCTGTATATGAGGTTGATTTTCGTTAAACTAGTCTGGTTGTTTATTTTTGTTGGACTTTCCCAGTACTGCTTCGCTAGTTTTATGAATCGTATCCCTTAATTGTGTCCAGTCTTGTTCAGCTTCCAAGATTGAGATTGAAGTTATCGGTGGAAGTGATTCTTTGATGGCTTCCCGAAGGGCGTCGGCGGTATTTTGGTCTCTAGACCCCGTATGTTCAATCTGATCATGTTGTTTTGCTTTTTACAGTGTGGATGTTTGGGTTTTAACTGGATTTTCATTTTTGAAATTAAAAGTCGGCGGTCAGTGCCGCATTCGGCATCTATTCTGGCTTTTGTGAGTCTGCCATTTTTTAGATGCGTCCTTCGAACGATTACGTGGTTCAATTGATGCCAGTGGCCTGATCTAGGATGTTTCCAGGTACCTTTAAACTTGTCCTTCAACATGAACCACGTATTGGTGATGCAAAGATTATACTCTGCGCATGTTGTTAATAAGCGTTCACCATTGCTATTTACGTTTCCCCGAGGGGTGTCTCACTTGTGTAAGAAATGTACATGTACTGCCAAAATATCATTTTACTGCCAAGCGACTGCCAATGACTGCAAAGAAGACTGCCTATGACTGCCATGTAATTATTTTAAGCGACTGCCGTCAGACTGCCAGTGACTGCCAAGAAAATGTACAGGTAATTCCAATAGTGAGACACCCCTCACGTTTCCCATTCCATGTCTTCCCAATACGTCAGGCCATATTTCCTGTTGTCTATCGACACGAGCATTAAGTCACCTAGCCAAATGACTCGTTCGTGTTTTGGAATTCGTTGGAGAGCATTTTGTAGAGCTTGGTAAAATTTATGCTTATCCCCAATTTTAGCGTCTAGGGTGGGAGTGTAGGCACTAATGATGTTGGCGTAAGATTTGTCTGATATGGCGTAAGATTTGTCTGATATGGGGTACCTTAGGGTCATAAGACGTTCGAAGACATCAATAGGTAATGGTGTCGAAATCGCCAACAAATTAATAGAGACTGGTGTAAGATTTGTCTGATATGGGGTACCTTAGGGTCATCTTACACCAATCTCTGTTAATTTGTTGGCGATTTCGTTTTTGATTGCAATGCCTACGCCATGAATTCTCCTGTGTGTTGCGGGGTGACCTTTCTAAAAGAAGGTGTAATGCTCCTTAGTGAGACTACCCTCATCCGCGAAGCGTGTTTCGGTAAAAGCGGCAACATCTACATTTAGTTTAGAATTTATCTTGTCCAGTAGAGTGCGGACGTTCCACGCCGCAAACGTGAAACATTGATGTTTTTTGTTTCTCCGATGACACACTCGAGTAGGCACCCCCTCCCGGAGATCCGATTGAGGGGGTATTTTACCTCCGGATGATGATTTTGTCCCACTCGAATGTTCCATCATTAATGTGTGTTAGCAGCGTGAAAAGTTTTAACTGTAACGGTTACGCTGCCGCACAGTTTTGGCTGCAACTGTAGCACTAGATGACTATGGCACAGTGAGGACCGCGACGATAGTTCCCTTGTGCTACGTTCTTGGCCGGCTAGGAGTAGTTTACTACTCCTCTTCCCCAAAAAGATGGTAGGTCTGAGGATTGTATAAGGTTATGCCGCCTATACTCGGACGTCAGAGCCTCGTTTGTGTAAACAGGGTGCACCGCGTGAAGGTGAGGTCGACTTTTGGGTAAGCTAGGCTATATGTATCGCTTCACTACCCCTTGCACCCCCTTGACATTAGTCTATGATAAAAGTGAAGCACTTCTACGCCTAAGCATAAAAGTATGAAAATATATTATTAACCTGACATGAAGTGTCAAATTCAACGAGCGTAGCCATAGTTTCTCGATATTTACATGGTACAAGGTATTACTTTTAAATATTTTTATACCGTATAATCGAATAAAAACGGCGTCAGCGATGGCTATGAAATGAACATCGATGACATTTCCCATATAAATTTACATATAAAATGACAGCGATCTTCATTTCATAGCCATCGCTGACGCCGTTTTTTTCGATCATACGGTATTATTTGTAACGTTTAAATTTGTTTAAACAATTATTTATGACGCTTGAAAAAAAAGTAGCATGTTCTATTCGGAGTAAAAATCTCGCCTGTATGTTAAATGCACAGCTTCGCTACAAAAAGTGTAATTTTTACTCCTAATAAAAACAATATAATATATAAAACATGTTAACGCTTTATTAAACAAACTGTATGACAATGTTATAATTTCGTGTTATAAAAATTTATTAATCTATCTGCTTCTCTGTATCCTGATTCGATTGCTCCATGAACCGTTGAAAAGTGATCAGGACTTGTTGCTTCACCCGCAAATAATATTGATAGGTTTTTATTATTTTTTAATAAAGGTTTTGATAAAGTTTCTGGTAATTTGACCCCAGCCTTCAGAAAACCTTTTACTGATTCGTACGAGTATGTACCTTTGAAATGAGGATTGGAATACCACAGTGTTCTGGAAAAAAGGTGATATTTTTTTTAAATTTGGTTAAATGATAATTAGGTAATTAATCTAAAATGATTATTAGGTAATACTATCTAAGAATTATTCGAGCCCTCCAAAGTAAATTCTAAAATTAATTAATTTAAAAACGATTTTATAAAAGCTTGATGAAATGGACAACTAACATACAAACGTTGGAAGTTAAGTAAAAGCTCATAAAAGAAATAAAAGTATATGTTTATTCAGGGTCGCCGACTGCGTTGGTGCTCGGGTGCTCTAGCATCTACGAGAGGATAACAGTGAGTGCGGAGCACCCACGAGCATATGCCTCAAAACTGATCAGTTTAGCAACTTTAAGACGACACTTATCTCATCAACCGCAAGACAAGAGGTCGTCGGTTCCGTCGGTAGAAAGTCCATTGGTACATACATGACGCGCATCATACTTCATACTGTAGCAGTTTTTCGAAGAAATCAATTTCAATAGTTGTAGTAAGTTTCCTCGTCTATTCTTAGGTAGTTAAACCAATCCTGTTTTTCAGCTTTTAAATCAGCAAGTAAATTGACATGGGAATAATTGAAGAGATTGCTGCAATAACCAGGCAGCTTCATTTTAACATATTCTGCTAGCCAAAGTTGGGAGCTCGAAGAGCTGCTCGGTTCTTGCTGCAAACCCAGAGGAAGGCAGCTCCAATAAGAATGAAGATATCTGATTGTAGCAAAGAACGATCTGACTATTTTTAAAGGGCAATTAATAAAATAAAAAAATATCTAAATTTTGTTAAAGATTCAATTTTTACCTAATGATTTTGTCCGGCATAGTAACATTAAATCTTGGCGAAAAAAATAAATTTAAGAGATGAATTAGTCCTTTGCGTACTTCTTCTTCCGAGAGAGTTTCTATGTGAGGAACATATTTTCCCCCATACCATGACAGAATAACATGGGTGTTGTTCTCTGCTTGTACTGTACCAGTCATGGTACTCAACCATTCAAGATTTTCCTAAAGAAATTGTTTCAAACTTAATTTTCTGTAGTATACTTTTTTATAATTGATTTCTTTAAACTCTAAATTTATTAAGCTAAAAAGCGTTTAAGCTAAAAATTTATTAAGTTAAGCTTTTTATGGTAAAAAATAAATAGATATACCGGGTGCGTCTAAAAAGTGCCTCGCTCTTATATCTTTTTTATTTTTTCAGATAAAAAACGAGATTTGGTATGTTAGTATATGACATAAATTGGGTTTAATTGACGTATTTATTTTATTCTTTTCGGCCACTTCCTGGTTTCACCGAAATGAATCGTTTTGATTTTTAAATGGCACCATTGGTATTTTTTACTTTATTCGATAGAAATGACACTCTGAATTGAATGGACATATCATATGTCAACTTTTGACTTTTTCGCATATGGTTTACATATACAAACTAAAATATATAGGAAACTGAAATGATACCGTCTGTTGGAGAATTTCTCGATACAAATAGAGAACTTCTGATACAATTTTATTTTATTTTACAGGAAACTTTACATTTTAACTACAGGTAACTATGTTGTTTTGTCCACTCTAGCGCCATCTATTATCAATTTTTTGGAACGTAATTTATTTTTTTGTACAGAAATAGGTCATTTTTCTTCTATTTCTTATTTTTTAATAAGAATAAGTTACTCTAAATGCTACATCGCTCCATTATATGGTATTGTTCTCAAACAGGTGGCGTTTCATTTAGAATTAACTTATCCTCATCAAAAAATATGAAATAGATAGAAAAAACAGCTATAGTTAATAAAATAAAAATAATTAACTGGATATGTTTAATAATAATTATTAGTAATAACTTTATAAAAAAAGTAAATAATACAAATTATACAATAAATAAAATTTCTTCTTCAGACGTAGCTCGCACGGCACTGCTCTACTTAACTTCTTCATATAAATACAATAATAATAATAAATCAATACAATAGCATTAAATAATATAAAATACAACTAACAAAGTTTTGTCGCGAACTTATACGAAGCGCGGCGAAAAAACGTGAATTGGATCAATGGTATAAAAATGCAGACCTACGGATTAAAGCGAAGTAACGCGAAGAATCAAAATCAAAATACATGCAATTAATCCAATGACATTTTGGCCGAGCCGGCTCTGGCGCCGGCGCTTCGCAAACATTTAAAGTATGATGCGCACTTAAGCGAAGCGCGCCGAAGCCGAAGCCATGCGAAGCACTGTTTTTTCGCACGCGATGAAAATTTAAAGTTGTTTTAAGCTGGCCTTTTTAATTTTAGTATTACGCGTAGAGAAATATTATCTATGTGACGATTTGATAAAAACATTGGATTCATGTAATCATATAAAAATGCCTTTTATTCTGCATTTTTCCTCAATTTCTACCCAGGTGTTGTCTCGCCTCAATTCATTATGATAATTTGGGTTCTTAACATAACTCTTTGTAGCTCTGTATAATCATAATGAATGTTTCACCATCCTTGATCTCAGTAATTAAACTGAATTCACAGGTTGTACGATTCCTTTGTTATGCTTCCGATCTGAAACAAATAAATATGTATAATTATGTGACACATCAAAAAAACCTCGAGTATGGTTTATATAACGTAAAAATCCTTTTATAAGCAGGATTCAAAAACAATTGCTAATAAAGCACTCGCAAAAACTGCATCATCGGCACTCTGGAAGATTCCTGGTTTTGGGATATCTGATCCTTTCTCTAAAATGATAGATACAATTTAAAAAATCTAAAACGATAATTTTAATAAACCAAATTCAGTTTGGATTCGTAATACATATTAACATTTTTAATAAACTTTGGAATATCTAATAATTATTGAATCACTCTCTGCCAAATTAAAGTAGCCAGTGCCATAACTTGTTTATTTACAGCTCAATTAACATATTTTTTGTTATAAAGTTGATATGATATTTTTTTTTAAATAATCTTCATTACTGAATATTTTGCGATTTTAATTTGGCCCACGGTGCGGTGTAGGTACCTACCCTTTTCAGTTACTGCTTTTCTCAGGTAACAGTACAAGTCTAATTCCAACGAGAGAGTGGTCCACCAACAAGTTCTACAACAAATGTTTGTTTTTAAATACAAGGTTTGTACCTGGATCGACATCACTGGATACCAAATTACCAGTAGGTTGATCATCTAAAAGATTATTTTAATTTTATTAGATCAAAATATCTGAAAACGTTCTTTATTTAACTAAATTTTTAACTATTTAACTTACCCATATAAACTGGTGTATATAAAAAGTCACTTGGAAGATAATTAACTTCTAAACCTCTTTTTATTCCAGGTACGTAATCTTGATTATAAAAATGTAAATCACAAACTCTATAAATCTTTTAAATATCTTGCTGTGTTGTATTTTCCATTTTAAGGTTTCGCACTTGATACACTTTTGGAATAATGTAGGATCGTTCTTCGAGAATGTATGTCTTTTGGAAAACAAATCCATGCACGCCGGCGCCGGCACAACATACTTATGAAAGGGCTCGTGAAAGGGTTTACGGCCTGATTCCATCATTGTTTTTAATAAAAAGTTTAAACAATCACTAAAATTTCAGTAAAACCTTTTTCGATTTTTGACGGTGCATATTATTTATTTGATTAGAACTGACTTGATTTGATTTGAAGTGCCAAAAAAACTTCGCCTTAAGCGCGACCGGTGGTTCGTCACTGAACTAACAAATTTGTGTATAACTGGTTGCGGTGAAAAAGTCCTTTCAAAGATCTCAATTTCAGTTTCCCATATATTTTAGTTTGTATATGATGGTTTATTTGAAATTGTAACATGCGGTTCATAACGACAATTTGACTCGAAATACCAAATGTGTGGTACCAAATAATTCGTAAAAAAATGCTTTTTCCAAATCTCCTAATGAGCCACTCTTGTTCCATTTGAAACAATTGAGATTATGATTAAAAAACGATTTGGACATCTTTAGACCGGCCAAGACAAGACACGAACAAAATTAGATGATCAAATATATTTTTCCGAGGCTCCTTGGCTAAAAATTCGTGTTTTTAACACAGCCATGGCACTGTAGATTGACATTCAAAATACGATTTGTTTTTATGCGAAAACGACAAAAGTTGACATATGATATGTAATTCTATTCAGAGATTCTATTCATTTTCTATCAAATAAAATAATAATATACTGATGGTGCCATTTAAAAATCAAAAGTTGTAGTTATTTACGGTGAAACAGGAAGTAACCAAAAACCATTGAATACGCTAATCTATACTAATTTATGTAATATACTAACATAGCAAACATGATTCAAAGAAAACAAGGTATGATATTGCGCAGATTGGTGACTACGTCATAGGTGATATCGCCAACATTGGTCGGCACTTGGTCGGCACGTTCCGCGCGCCAATGTCAAACTGATGACACATAATAAATGTGAAAATTACTTTTCCAATGTCAAACTCATTGACTTGACATAACTTTTAGGTTACGTCCTAATTCTTCCCTATTTTAGGTCTTTTTTATTAGTGGCAATTGAACAATATGGATTTTTTTGTATGGCGTAGTGACGTCACAGGTGATATGCGCGAACTGAACGGAATTGAAACCGCTATCGATCATAGTACCTTGTTTTCTTTGTATCATGTATAGCAAATCTCATTTTTTTTATCTGAAAAAATAAAAAAGTTATAAGGGTGAGCCACTTTTGAGACGCACCCGTAGGTGAGACGCACCCGTAGGCACAATATACATGTAGGTAGGTACCTACATGTATATTGTAATATTCCTACCTCTTTAAGTTTTTCTTTATGTTCCGTAGTCCACATCACGGGAAAATCAGCTGGACCATCCCACCATTTCACAGGAAAATGCATGATTATTGTCACAATTGCTCCAAATCCTATACCGTTAATAGCCTTCACCTTATCCTCAGGTAAATCAGGTTCAAACAAGTTTTTATGGCTTGCTTTTAACACCCCCAGAGAGGGAGTAAAGATGACGTGGTCAGCTTCGTATTTGTCACCGTCATTTGTTAAAACAGTTGCTGTATCTTCTCGCCAGTTAGTTATATTCGTAACTTCCTTATCTAAAAAGATTTTTTCATCTATTGGCAATGGATTTTCTGCATTTGGAAATTTTTCCATCATGATATCGAGTATCGTTTTATAACCATGTCCTTTCCATTTCAGGTTTTGATCACCTTCGCTGTCTTGGAAAGCAGAGGTTATATTTAAATCGTTTAAATCGAATGCAGCGTTTAAGGAACATACGCTGCTCTCTACCCAATCGTACGCCTCTGAAAATATTTCGGTTTCTTTGGGATTTTCTGCTGACTTTATAAAATCCCCGGACCTGTAGGTAAACAGAAAATTATATAGTGTGAATACCAATTAGATATCTAATATTTGATTGATTTTGTATTAGTGATCGCCGACGAGTAAAGAATATTTTTTTCTACAAACGTCAAAATGGATTATAATGTAATTGTAAACATTTGTTTTGTAATACATAAGTAACATGCATAAATTAAAATAAAATTTTTTACGTTTTTTTTTAAATTACATAAAATTGGCTTATACAAATATGTTCAAAGTTGGCATGTTTATTCAGCATACGCAGCCTTTAAAAACCCTATTTACGATTACGGTGTAAAATTAATAGGAGAGCCAATATTTGGACAGCTTAAAACTTGCATGGTATTTCCTATATTACTTTTCAACGACGATGCACCATCCGGTATAAAATGTCAGAATGACATCTCATTTTTCTGTTAGTTGTTAATACCTAATTCTATATAAAAAAATTTCCTTGTACTTTTTTGACATAAGAAAACGTTAATAAGCACAAGTAAACATCATCATAATTTTGATACCTATATGAATGTACGTTGGCATTAAGCCAGTCTCACACGATCTGGCAAACACCTTCCAACGTGGGACATTTGCCACATCGTGTGGGTGACACATTCGCCAATTATGTGTATTGTCTAACATTGTTCAAAAATGTGCCGAATGTTGGTTCCAACGTTGGACGTATAGTGTAGGACCCATGATACAAAGAATACAAGGTATGATATTGCGCAGGTTGGTCACTACGTCACAGGTGATAAACGGTACCATTGGTCGGCAGGCTCCGCGCGCCAATTTCAAATTGTCAAACAGATGACAGAATAAATGTGAAAATAATTTTTTAAATGTCAAGCTCGATGATTTGACATAACTTTTGGGGTTATGTCCTAATTCTTCTCTACTTTTGGTCTTTTTTTATTAGTGGCAATTGAACAACATGGATATTTTTTTGTATGGCGTATGACGTCACAGGTGGTATGCGCAAACTTAACGAAATTGGAGCCGCTATCGATCATACCTTGTTTTCTTTGTACCATGTGTAGGACCTACTTTAACCGAAATGTTTTATACAGAGTGTTTCGAAAATGCAAGGACAAATCAGGGGGTGACTCCCCATCACAAAATAAGGAAAAAGTTCTTGTAAACATGGGTTCGAAAATGCATACCTAATTTTAAATATAGCGAATGTTAAACTTAAAAAAAAAATAAAGAAATGAAAGGGCATATTTTCAGCATCTTCTGTAGATAGCTCTGAACACCAATGTTATAATTTGTAATATGTTGTTTAACGTTGTTATAACGTGTTTTAATACTTTACTCTAGTTGCAAATTGAAATTTAATTTTTTAAATATTTTTTAATGGGGTCCAGACACCTGCATTGAAATTGGAACCAAAATTTATTTTCTGCAAAACAGTACTAGACATGTATATGGTATAAGAAAAAACAATATTTTTAGTTGAAAAATATATAAAAGTTTCAAAATAAGTCGTTGGCGTACATTTTTTCACAATTATTTTGGATAAGGTCTCTCCTGGGGGACACTGCTTTAATTATATATATATATATATATATATATATATATATATATATATATATATATATATATATATATATATATATATATATATATATATATATATATATATATATATATATATATATATATATATATATATATATATATATATATATATATATATATACATATATTATATAATTTAGTTAGGCGTAAATTAGATCCTTATTACTAAAAATTACACTGACAAATTTCAAGAAAATCGGCTATAGTGTATTTAAGACGATTCCAAAAAAATGTAAAGGGGATCACCCTGTATATTTAAAATTATGCACTTTCCAACCCATATTTATAGGAACTTCTTTTCATATCTCTTGATGAGAAATCACATATACACAAAGGGAAATCACATATATATATATATATATATATATATATATATATATATATATATATATATATATATATATATATATATATATATATATATATATATATATATATATATATATATATATATATATATATATATATATATATATATATATATATATATATATATATATATATATATATACATATATTATATAATTTAGTTAGGCGTAAATTAGATCCTTATTACTAAAAATTACACTGACAAATTTCAAGAAAATCGGCTATAGTGTATTTAAGACGATTCCAAAAAAATGTAAAGGGGATCACCCTGTATATTTAAAATTATGCACTTTCCAACCCATATTTATAGGAACTTCTTTTCATATCTCTTGATGAGAAATCACACGCTAAAATTTGAAACACACTGTATTATTTGGAAATACTTGTATACACGGTGGCATGGCGCCTCTCGAAGACTTCACCTTCACGACGCGAAGGCTCCAAGTAGAACGGTACTCCAACTAAAGAGTTCTGCAGGGTGTTCCCAAAAAAGTTGTGCATCAAAGTTGGATTTTTCGTAATGGACTATTCAGTTGATTTCCGTATTTTAGAAAAAAAATAAAGGTTAAAAAATTAAAAAAAAAATATAATGGTTTAAAAAATTAAAGAAGCATATGTCGAAAATGTAAGGTTTTTGACATATTTTACATTTTGTGAAAATGAAGAATAAGCTATTCTAATTAGTATCATATAAGGTCTAAGGGGTAGGTAAACCTTAATAGTCAATACTATTAAGGTTTACCTACCCCTTAGACAAAGATTTTCTTAGATATTTTTATTTTTATGATTTTGCGTCAGTAGTTCTTTATTATTTCATAAAATCTAGGTAGCCGTGATATACCGTTTGTTAATTTAACAAAAATTAAAGGATGTGGAGTAAACTTTTCAATGGTTATAAAAAAGATACAAATTTAAAACATATTTTAATTACTACAGAATTAGAGCTAGATATAAACGTATAATTATATGTGATAAAAAACAGATGAAATCAAATGCTCAAAATGCTTCGTTTCCTCTTCATAAAAACTTAATAATCATTCCCTCTGCATAAAATGATTCTCTTTTCAAAATATCTTGAAAATAGGTATATGTGGAGTTCCATCTGGAAAGACAGCTACAATAATTTCTTTGATGTTGTCGATAATAAGTAGTTGGTCGAGTTTTGTAAACATGTAAACACTGTCTTTAACATAACCCAATAAATAAATAGCGTTCAAGCATTAATTGGCGAATGCACGTGCAGTTACCAATTATTTAATTTTAATTTTTTAGAATCATGTTAATTCTCTCTAATATAGGATAAGTTTCCATTTTCGGCAAATTTCTGGGATTTTTTTTTGTTATAACTGGTACAAAATGATAACTAGTTGTTAAAGTTGAACTAATTTGACAGCTATGTTGCAGTAATGTCAGCCATATTTCAGCCACCTAGATTTTATCAAATAATAAAGGTCGACTGACACTAAATCTTAAAAATGAAAATATCTAGGAAAATCTTTGTTTGAGGGGTAGGCAAAGTTAAATAGTATTTTGAAGAGACAAGAATTATCCATTAAATATTTGAATAATATACTGGGTGTCCAATTTAAAATATAAGAATAACTTGCATTTAAAGGTGACAATATTAATTTTGTTTCCTCTTGTATGATTTTTTGGGACCAGTTTTAATTTGATTTAAAATATCATAGTTATTTTAACGACCATACCGGGTAAATTCCAATTTATTCCAAACTTGTTTTTCATTTTTAGAAAATGTTAAATATGTCAAAAATCTTAGATTTTAGTCATATACTTCTCTAATAAATCGTGCCTTCCTTATTTTTCTCTTAGAATCCGAAAATAAATTAATATACCGGGTGCGTCTCAAAAGTGGCTCACCCCTACAACTTTTTTATTTTTTCAGATAAACCAATGAAATTTGGTATGTTAGTATATGACATAAATTAGGATTGATTGATATATTCAATTGTTTTCGGTCACTTCGGTTTCACCGGAAATTACTACAAATTTTTATTTTTAACTCCCGGTATTTTTTTTACTTAATTTGATAGAAAATAACACTCTAAATAGAATGACATATAATATGTCAACTTTTGACATTTTTTTGGTTATTTGAAATTGTAACATGCGGTTCATAACGACAATTTGACTCGAAATACAAAGTGTGTGGTATCAAATTACTCGTAAAAAAATGCTTTTTCCAAATATGCTAATGAGCCCTCTCGTTCCATTTGAAAAAAATTGAGATATGATTAAAAATACGATTTGGGCATCTTTTAACCGGCCAGGACAAGGCTCTAAAAACATTAGACGCTCAAATCTATTTTTCCAAGGCTCCTTGATTAAAAATTAGTGTTTTTAACACAGCCATGGCACTCTAGATTAAAATTTAAAATACAATTTGTTTTTGAGCAAAAATGTCAAAAGTTGATATATGATATATTATATAATATTATTATATATATTCGATTCAGAGTGTCATTTTCTATCGAATAAAGTAAAAAAATACCGAGGGTGCCATTTAAAAATTAAAAGTTGTAGTCATTTCGGAAGTGACCGAAAACAATTGAATACGTCAATCAATCCTAATTTATGTCATATACTAATATACCAAATATCGTTTTTTATATGAAGAAATAAAAAAGTTATAGGGGGTGAGCCACTTTTGAGACGCGCCAGGTATATGGTGTTTCCATTGCAAAAAAAATTCAACTTTGATGTGTAACTTTTTTTGGGGACACTCTGTATTTTTAAAAATACTCTAAATAAACCGATATAATATGTTTACAAAATTTCTTTTTAATAAAAACTGTCTTCTCTTTGGACCTTCCACGGCGCGGCGTATGAGTGGCGCCACCCTGTATTATGACTGAAATAATATATGAACCCATTCAAATTAGTTAAAGCCAGAAGTAAAAAAACTGTAATATAAGTAATAATAAATGGATTTTTTTCATTAAATTTATATATTACTTGATCTTCAAACATTCTCCAACAGAACTCAGATTTTTACATTTTTCATGTTTTTCCAGAAATGCGACTGATTCTTCAAACTTTATTACTTTACTCGCTGTTGCTTTGTCTAAAATTTCTCCATTGGATCTGAGAAATCGATATTCTGTGGGAAAGTTTTTCAGCACTCCCAGATCTTTTGTAAGGGAATAAACTATGTTATTTTTCTCACCATGGCAAAAGTTAGCTCCCAAGTCAACGTAAGCCTCGCCAAATTTTACACTATGGATTCTACCACCTGAAACATCAAACAGGTTTATTTTGTACCGTACAATAATTATAGATACCGTGTGATCGAAAATAGGCGTCCCGTTGACTTAAAAATGACAATTGATGACGTTCATATCATTTCACATACAAAATGACATCGATCTTCATTTTCAAGCCTTCTCTGCCGATGTTTTTTTCGGTTGTATGATATTTGTTTGTATTTTAGTTTCAATCGAATACCCATCTGAATACAAATTATTGTTAAGGCTATAACTGAAATCTGTAGATGTTATAGTACCTCATACACGACTACCGTTTACCGTTTCATTGAAATTATTCAAAAATAACACACAACACGACATAAATCTCAGGAAAAAACTGTATGTCATATTTATATACTCGTAGAATACTTTACAGCTAAAACTAGACAGCTAAAGTCATTAGGTAGATAGGTAGTAGGTAACAGTGATAAAAGCGGCTCGTGGTTAATTGTAAAGGAAAACAATAATATGCAACAATAAAAGCTTATTTTCTATAGTCACGACTTTGTAGTCAAGTTTTATTTTTAATATGTATCATTATCATACATCAGGAAAAGAAGAATTGCGTTTCTTAAAAACTAAATCATACACAAAGATCAAATTTTTTATATTAACTATAAGTACGTATAATTTTTACTACGTACTGCAATTTTTAAAGAAAAGCTTTGCTTCATCTGCTTTACTTGGCAAACTGCTACAAGTGAGAAATTGTTAACTACAAATCTTAACTTTAATATATCTAATAGTCCTCATACACCAGATGATTTGGCCTGCGGATTTGGCCTGCAGACTTGGGTGTTGTCGGCGTTTGTGGGGCGGACCAAATGTGTAGCCTTTGGTGATTTTTGGATCAAGCTTGTCAAAGGCTAAATCCGCTTGATCAGTCTTGACTTGATCTGTCAGATTAAATTGGTTTAAAAAAACGACCGAAGGATACAGTCGGCGGACTTGTAACGCTTTCTTTCTAAGCGGCAGTGTTTATTCCCAGTGTTTAATCCGATAAACATTTATGTTTATAAAAACTGCTATAAAACAATATAAAAAGTCTGCACATCAAAATGCGAGAGTTTCGGTGCCTACGTAACAGTCCAAGTCCGCGCTGGCAAACTTTGCAGACCAAATCCGCAGGCCAAATCTTCTAATGCAGGGGGCTAAAATGCCATATCTGTGCCAAGTACCGTATGATCGAAAAAAATGCCGTCAAGGTGATTTGGAAATACCTTTCGATGATATTCATCACTATTTTTACATAAATATAAAATGATAGTCATCTTACTTCCAGGCCTTCCTATGACGTCATATGGCATCTGTATCGTATTGTGTTTTGTGTTGTATGCATAGACTTAAAATAAAATATAGACTACACTATTTACATCTCAACGCGGACAAACCTTAGGGACAAACAACCTTTTTTGTACACATGTTTACTTCTGGGTACAGTCGACCGAGCCTTCCTCATCCAGCCTATGTTGTCACGTCTTTAATATTATCAATATTTTTTTTCTTGTTATACACATATATTGAGATATTAATACTACAGTTTAATAAAGTAGGTTTTAATATTCCATAGATGTATTAAATAGTCCTTATACTACTAAATTATAAGTCGGATACTGTTTAAAAAGGATAAGTTCTTTACAATATGACAACACCGATTAGAGGCGAGGGAGCCTATTCATTCATTTATTACCTTGTAGTACGTGTCGCACGTGTGCGGTAAAGCTTTGTTGCCGCTATCTCCCCGGCTGTATTAACGCATTTTCTTAGCTTGTAGTGCTTAAGTGTTTATTTTATTGACTTTTTCTGTTCAAGAACTATAAAATATGGTTCGCCAGTGCCAAATTTGCAAGAAATTTGACTTAAATAATCCATTTAAGTCTTGAAACGACTTTTGACCGGTAGGCAACTCTCAATTTACCCATTGGGAGTCAGTGGCGTTGTTGTAGAAAGGCGCTTATTTAGATAATATTTTAGTAAAATGTAAAATCTGAATTTTTTCTCTTACATTACATTATTTACTTACTTACATTGTAACAAAATCATAATTATAACCCTGTTAATAATTAATAATGTTTTTATTAAAAATATATTCCGGTTTATTCTAAAATTATCTTCAGAATCTAAAATAACATACAAGAATTTTAAAATGATATTACATTATGAAACAATATTTTTTAATATACCGGGTCGTCTCAAAAAGTGGCTCAACCCTATAACTTTTTTATTTTTCAGATAAAAAAACAGATTTGTATGTTAATAGGTATATGACATAAATTAGGATTTATTGACGTATTCAATTGTTTTTAGTCTCTTCCTGTTTCACCGAAATGATTACATCTTTTGATTTTAAAAGGCACCCTCGGTATATTGCTACTTTATTCGATAAAAAATGACACTCTGAATAGAATGACATATCATATGTCAACTTTTTGACATTGTCGCTTAAAAAACATATCCTATTTTAAATTTCAATCCAGTTTTTTCAATCCACTAAGTTTTAATCAAGGAGCCTTGGAAAAATAGTTTTGATCGTCTAATAGGTTTCGTGTCTTGTCTAGGCCGGTTAAAAGATGTACAAATCGTATTAACAAGGGTGACTCATTAGCATATTTGGAAAAAGCATTTTTTTATGAATATATTGATACCACACACTTGGTATTTCGAGTCAAATTGTCGTTATGAACCGCGTGTTACAATTACAATTAAACCATATGCGAAAATGTCAAAAGTTGACATATTATATGTCATTCTATTCAGAGTGTCATTTTCTATCGAATAAAGTAGAAATATACCGAGGGTGCCGTTTAAAAATTAAAAGTTATAGTCATTTCCGGTGACACAGGAAGTGACCAAAAACAATTGAATGCGTCAATCAATCCTAATTTATTTCATATACTAACATACTAAATCTTGTTTTTTTATTTGAAAATATAAAAAAATTATGGGGATGAGCCACTTTTGAGCCGCACCCGGTATAATAAAGACAGTACCGAGTTAAATAAATGTAGTTTTTATTTTATCCACTTCCTATCACCTTCCTTGCTTTAATGGAACAGATTTATGTTTTCTCTAATTTACATAATAAGACATCACTTAACTAGAAAAAAAATTACAACAATCATTTTTTTTTCTCTCCCTGTCGCCGATTCTATTATATCTGTGGAATAGATCCGGTTTTGATTAATATTAGGGGTTGTAAATGTTTGACTAAAATTAATAATTTATTATTAATTTCAAAAATTACGTAATTTCGATTATAAAATTTCTTCTATAACGTGTATTTTATTATGTTTATCCTTTTCGGACTCTAAGACGTTTTTTCTAAACTTTTATGTAAAAAACCTGTCCTAAATCTTAATAAAATATAAAAACGTTTAAATACGATATATTTTTAATTTACTTATAGCTTCATTAAAATAAAAAAATTACCCGGCTATGATACGGAGAGTTCAGGTGTACTTGAGAAACGAAAGACAGTGTTGTGTTTCTCGGCAGAGTCGTCAGGGATATTTTTTTTATTTTCTTAATAGTAAATAAAGTTTATTAAGATGTGTTTGCAAGTATTATTTTCTAATCTATAACAGAACCCTTAAAAAATTTTAGTAAACGTTATCTCATCATATGGTTCCTACACTTGGCGAGTAACTTGAAAAAATCCTAACGCGTTCATTCACTGGTGCTTTTACCCTATATTATGTATATAATATGTATGTATTGTGTTTTAAATACGTACATTTTTTTAGCAAAGTTAAATTAAAATTTGAACCTCTAGAACGACATTAAGTTTTTATGATAATGCATAATATACCGGGTGGTGTATCATCGTTAGAAACATAGGAAATCGCATGCAAATTTAGAACTCTCTAGATATTGTCTCCCTTGTTAATTTTACAGCGAAGTTGTAAATGGGATTTTTAAAGGTACACTGCGTACACGTCAATTTGAAATTTTTTGGACAAACCGATTTTAAGTAATTTAAGAAAAATGTACCTTAAGTTCATCCTATAATTTTGTCGATGTCAAATTGTATTTTCTAAACATTAAGCTTTTACCTCATTCAAACCAGTTTTAAATTACAAAAATACACTTTGGGGACACTCAGGGTAGGCACTATAACCCTTACAAGGCTATAACGTAGTAGTGTAGACAGTACCCCAGTCAAATTAGATAAAAAAAGGACCATCGGTGGAAAAAATTCCCACAGTTTTGAAAATAGTTTTAAACGATTGGTTTAGACTTTTGCTGATATGTGCCAAAAGTCCCCGAAGATAGAAGATGAGCTCGAGGAGTGGGAAGGAGTTAAATGTCAATTTTTTCACTCTCTTTTATGCTTATATCTCAGAAACTATGACATCTACCGAAAAACGTTCTATATATAAAAATAAAGCTGTCAAAATTATCTATAAAAGAGATTCTATACATTTTTGTTCCCGGGCTTATGGTTTCCGAACTATGCCATTCATAAATTTGGATACTAAATCAAATGGCATATTCCAAATCCTTAAAGACTTTTTTTCATTGCACGTTTTTCTTTCAAATAGCGTTGAAGAAGTACGATATCATGATTTTTTAAGTATTAAGTATAACTTTTAGTATATACTGTGATTTTATAAATTTTAGACGTGATGCGTTCACATAAATCACTTGTTGACTGCGCAAGTTATTTGTTAACATGAATAATGTTTTCTGTTCATTTATTTTGCTTTGTATTTTTGTGTAATTAAAAGTATAAAAACCATATAAAAACGTTATGTACAAGAATGTAAACTAAATATTCGTCGAGATAGCTGCGTGTCGAGTTTACTCCCGGTATTTGGACTGTTATTGGACATTTTCCGTGCGTATTTTTTCGCGATTTTCGCGTCGAACAGATGGTGTTACTTTTTGAACTGATTGGAATAAAGTTTAGTTTTTAATAACGGTGCCTACTTGTGGAAAAGTGCATTTATATTATATTAAATTGCAAATAAATCTAAACAAAAAATCA